AACCAATCAAGTCCCAAAAGATTTAAATCACTCTTGGTGACGTAACAAATTCCTGTGAATTTGATGTTACGGGATGAAACAGAACATTTAAGTTCACCAATAAGTTTGAGGCGCCCACCACAGGCGCTGACAGCAGTCTGAGAAGTATTTGCGATTGGTGGTCTGCCAATATTATTCCAAAGTTTCTCTGATATAACAGTAATATCAGAGGCGGTATCTAGCTGCAGACGTGTATTATGACCATTCATCTGAAGATCAAGATATTTCCGCATACCTGGTGTTGTGACTTGACAGGTTGCGCGTAGACTCACTGATCTCCTTGGAGATTTAGGACCAACAGTTTGTCGAGCTTTTGCTGGATTATGATATCTGGGTTTGCGTGGCTGACAAAAACCATTTTTATGACCGATGATTTTGCACTTGCTGCAACGATGATTTTTGTATGGGAACGACTTTACAAAGTGCCACGCGCCACAATGCCGGCATGGTGATGGTGGGGTCTTCTTTGCAGTATTTTGTGAAGTTGGACGAGTATGTGTAGATTTACGCGGAACATTAGGAGAAGGTGGGTCAGGAGTGGATGATGAGAGATTTTTGCTCTTTCGTAATGCATGAATATCAGAGCTTCTCGAAGTTGTTGATTCGACCAGGTGTGTATCTTTCTGCAAATTAATCAGCCGTTGATATTCATCAGCTATGTCATGTAATGTTAACTTAGGATTTTGTTCTAGCTGATTGAGCAGTCGAGTTCGGATATCTGTGAAACGGGGAGATTGAAGACTGCATATGAGAATCAAGGTTTTGAATTGATCATCTGTTAAGGACCTGAGTCGAAATCTCTCACATTCTCGGTTGACTGTGCCAACGTGAGTAAGAAAATCATCATTTTCATTCATTGTCAGCTTGAGGCAACGATAACGTATGCTGAATAATGAGGAGTGGTCTCCAAAATGTTCACGCAGCAGCTTTATTGTATCATCGAAGCACTTGTCACGTGGTTTCTGGGGTAAAATTAGGTTGCAGTACCGTTCATGTTCTGCGGGACCAAATTTACGTAATAACACTCGCACCTTCCAAGCATCGTCTTGTGAGGCGAGATCAACTGTGAATAAATCCTCATATCGTTGGTACCATGTGTCAACAGTGACATTCGCATCTGGATTATAATTGAACTGTGAAATACTGTTCACAATTCCGTCGACAGACGGTAGCATTGTATGATTGGGATTGCTTGAAGGTGAAGCTGAACCAGTCTGTTGGTTAATGAACATTTCCATTAATTTCATTTGTCGTTCAAACAATAATTCCAATTTAGAAGAACTCATGGTTTTCCCCGTCGCCAAACTGTTATGTACTCGTCGCCAAATTATTGTTATGTACTGGTCGAGAATTTAATAGTCCTGACGCAAGAAAGACGGAAATCAGAAGACCACTAGGTTTGCGATGATACTTCTATTTTCCAAACACAAGGAGAATCAAAATGTATATCACACAATAGTGTGAGAGCAAAATATATATGAATGTCCAAACAAGTGTGTGAACAAATCATTAGACAGTCTTAACATGATTGGCTAATTATAATGGAGTATCGATCCATATATACATAGCGAAATATAACAGACTGCCAACAAACACACATATTATATGGATATATATCAATTTTCACATCCAACCTCCCTTGTATTCCTGGCTTGCTGTTGGCTAGTAACTTGGGCAAGCCTTAGGAATGCTTCAATGAGGAATTAACCTGAAGTCATTTGTGTGACTGGTGAATACCGACTTGTATACGGTAATTTGTTGTTAGACTACATAATACAAATTATGAGGACTTAATAATTTCCAAATAATCAACAAAGTGTGTATTAAACGTTTTCTTGATTACCACAGATTATTTTCAGTAAGCTCTAAATATACTATACGTACGTATTGTCAAATAACATGTGAAGATGAAAGGTATCTGGAGGTGTTTTGGTGCACTGAATAGCAAACATTACAACATTTATTGTAGCTGCTTAAAAAAGTTGATTAAAACACCTGTAAAATTGGCAAAAGTAACATCTGAAGTATGATTACAGCATTCCAGGAGGCCAGTAACACAGAATCAACCAGATGAGGAAATTCAAGTTGTAATTGATCGCCTCCGTTCTACTTATGCAGGTATACTGAAATAGAAGTGCGGCAATTTCGACTTGCGATAACCTATATCCTCACCCTAAATAACATACATTTTAAATCAACTAATAGACCATGGATTGATAAAAGTTAGCGAACCATTGAAAATCAACAGGGAGTACTGGAAAGCTGTTTCATCCTATTTTGAGAATCATCATCCCGACGCACCCACCACCAGGGTTCGAAACAGGACCTTCAGGTAATCTCGTATACCATTCAGCCACTGGAACTCGATTCAATAGCTTATGAGTTCTATCTTCTACCAATTCGTGACTTTTAGCGCGACCCTTAACAAATGTCATTGGTGGGAAATCCATCCTCTCTTTCGAGTGGATGGAGCCCATTGGTTACGACTTCTCACTAGTACTCCAGGCAACATCGTCCTGTTGTGGTGAGCGCTACTTATAATTAGATATAAGTAGTATGTCAGCACACGAATGCAGAAAAGTAACAATATGTTTCCGACACTGGAACAAGCAATGGAAGAACCAAACTATGAGAAGAACGTTAAAAACACCTTAGAATCCAACAAATTATCGAATGTGCTGATATTCCATCAATCTGCAAATGATGTGTAAATAAAACATTGGAGATATGGAATATGAAATTTATGTTCCTACAATGAGTTTATCTTAATAAATAACCGTTCAAGCCTCATCAGTCTTTACTTCCTTACACTGTAGCCAACCGGTAGCGAGCCTTAGATTAATTCTGAAGAATTAGTTTGTAGGGATTGTATTTAATTCAGGTCAAAACCCAGTGGGTGCGTAATGCCAATGAAACCCGAACTAGGACGAAACATCTATCCAGTACTTCCTAGTTTTCAATAGTTTCATGGTCTAACTTGAAACAAATAAAATCTCTGCAAATTAATTCTTGAAAATTATTTGTTTACATAATTGTTTAGTCATGAATGAAGGATTAAAAAATATTCGTTGAATTGTACACATTTTAATGATTCAGAATAATGATACCACCTAGGATATACTCATATTAGTTCAATTTTACGGAATCTAACCTTTGATTTCTTATGATGAATAGATTGTACATTCTTGTGATATCTTAACTAAGGTATGCAACGATTGTGTCAATAGTGAGATAAAAAAAGGTTGATTTACATACCAGCTAAGTACAAAGTTCACACTACTTATCTTTCGATAAGAGAAGAAGGCTAAAACATTCGAGTCAGTCTGAACTTCATTGTGAATAAACAGTTTGTGAGGTTAATTATCGAATAACCCTGATGTCTGCATGTATGCAAATATGTATTCGTCAAGAATATATATATATATATATATATATATATATATATATATATATATATATGTCGTCTTTAAGCCTTCCAGCGATTCTTCTTTGTCTCAATGTAATCACTTTATTTACATGTTGTTTATTTTTGTGTTTTGTAAGTTGATACTACTAACAAAGTCCAACAAGTCTAATACTGAGTCATAATTATTTTTATGTTTACTCGAGTGAGTAAACAAACCTATCAAATTTTTCTCTTTAATACATAAACTGCCTTGCCTACACATGCAGTTCAGTAAATATTATCATGAATATATAATCGATTTCAGTGGACAAAGGTTGTCTTCCTTTCTGATATGTCAATGATTTTCAAATGTAAACATGTAACTCTGTCATTTTTATATCGTTGTGTAGCTTAAACACATTGTTATTTATTACTGTATTATTTGTTCCTTACATTTCTAGTGGAACGTTGAAGGATTCAGCGGCACATTTTTATTTTATTCAGTTGTCTATGGCTGTCTGCCATCACGACTGTACACAAGCTTTCGCTCCCTCCTCATACAATATTTTTCAAGTCACTATCGGATATGACGCTGACCCACCAGGTTCCAATAAACGACCTGACTAGTGTGTTATCTCTGCTCACTATATGCTCAGTCCATCTCTATTTTCTTCTGCATATTAGATAGACAGTAGATTACTGGTCAGTTGACCACCTGCTAGAGTTACTTAGCTGACCTTCATGACTGTAGGAAGACAAATATTGATGAGTGTTTGCATCAGATTGTTGAAAATGCTCTCGATGACACTCCGAGAATAAACACAGAGTATGTTATTAGCAATATTAAGTTTGACATTATTTATTGTTTCATGGTCATGTTAACAGTTATGTGGTGTGATGGAGTTTATCTAAAATATGAGGAAAGCGTCTTTCAGTGAGTCTCGTCATCTTGGATAACCGGCGTCGGTGGCTTGAAAATATACTGTCAATTTCGCTTAAGAATCAAGTTTTGTTTTCAGCGACAGAGACCGTCTGAGACTGCAGTGGCTAGTGTGCACTGGTAGTCAGTATTGAAAAACGGTGTTAAAAAATGTAGTCATCGGGGAATTGTATATAAGGCAACATTCAAAGAAACTCATACTATTACACAGCGTGCACTGACACTAAGACGAGAGAAAAGAGCAAAGTATGACTTGACGAAGTCAGCAATGGACGCCTCAAGGAACCTTAAGGATAACCATCTGATAATCATTTTAAAAGCAGACAGATGCAGTTCCTCAGTGTAGTTTTTTTTTTAATTATAGCTTGGAACCACATAGTATTTTTGGTACAAGTATGGAATTTTCAGTATATGATATCAGTAACCCAAATTTTGCAGGCCGACCATAGATATCAGGTGTGCATCAGCAAGGGATCGAACCCCAGACCATGTGCACGGTCGGCGAGAGTCCTAAACGCTGTGCTACCCGACGCACTATTCAGAAATTAGGAAATCAATAGACACTGTCATGAGCAAGGCGTAGAAATCCACAGCGGATCTTATATGCCAAATGAAAAAAACTGTTGCTTCATTTACCTTTGAGGAGTTCATCTCACATGGACGCCAGAAACAAAGACGAATGTCTGTAGTATTCTGACAGTATTGATTATCTGTTGTCCAACGCCATGATATTCCAAGACCACATTGTCGACTACAAACTGACCATGGTGAGGTTTCCTGTTTCACCAGGTTACAGTAATTCTTATCTAATTAAAATGAAAAAAGTAGAAGTACTTTCACATGTCAATAGTGAAAATCAATTTTGAATACACAACTTTAGTGAAATATACAAAATTCAAATCATTCTTGATAATTTTTGAGATTTAGTTTGTAGGGATTCAATTTGTTTCAAGTTTGACCACGGATTAATGTTAGTTAGGGGGCCATCGGAAACCAGGTAGCATTTACTAGACATCTGTTTCGCCCTTGCCTGGAACTATAAAGTAGTACGCATCCAATCCGCAAACAAACTTGAGACAAATCAATTTCCTACAAATTGAATTCTGACAACTAATCTGATCCCTACCAGGTACTGGCTACAGGACGAAGTTGTCTGTAGTTGTGGTGGGACGTTTTCACCACCGGGGTCAACCAGGTCAGCAGTGAGGACAAACAGTCTTCAATGACACTGGCTGGCCATATTAAGTTGTCGCTCTAAAATCACACATTGGTAGAAATTAGAATTCATTGACCATTGATTTGGATCCCAGTGGCTGAATGGTCTATAGGCTTTCCTTGTAATCAGGAATTTCTGAACTCAAATACCGGTGGATGCGTACTGATGAGGAGTCAAAAACTAGAACAACCTCTTAACAAAAATAAGGCAAAATATACCCTTTAGCCAAGCGTCTGTTGTTTAAATAGTTCAGCCGGCTAACGAGTTTAAATGTTGAAAGATATCGATAAGTACATGAAACATGTCAATAAGCTATTGAAAGGATCTAAACAACTGTTTCATCGTATTTTAGATTGTTCAGCGGTACGCATAAAGAAGCTTCGGGCTACAGAGCAAGACTTTCATTCCTCCTGTCAGTTGAACAGAGTCCATTGGCCAACGAACTCTGATTTCTACCACTTCGGGATATATATTGTGCCTTCACTAGCCATTATTGTCGGCGAGTACCTATCTTCTGTGTTTCTCTAGCACACTCCAGTTCATAATCTATCTTGAAACCAATGAAATCCCTGCAGTTTGTTGTTGAAACAGGCCAAATAACTACGAAAACAATTCCATATTAGCAAGAAGCAAGGGTGAGAAACGTTCAAATCAAATATAAAATTTGAAACAGAACAATGGACACAGAAGTCTAAATTCCTGTATAAGTTTGTGTAAATCTTAATACGATTACCAAAGTTATACCATGTTGACGATTGTCTTCTACTGTGTGCACAGATGTGCTTCAGCCTGTTTGTTAGACGTCATTGTAGTAAAGCATGGTAAATTTCGTTTGACTATTCATGACTTTGAGCGCCCTCAGACTATCCAAAATACGACCAGAATCTGGCAGTTGGCGTGCACGCCATATCCAAACCTTTACATAATTCATACATCTTGTTGTAGTTTATATTGTAACTGATCAAAAGGAACACATGAAATTATAAAAATCAGCTCATTTTATCTGGCTACATGTATTGTTCTTGTTTTATTTATCTGATTTTTTTTTTGATTTTTTGATTTACAGCTTGATTGAATGTGACTGGCCTCATGAAATGTCATTTTCTGTATTCATTTGATTATGAAACCTTTACTCATTCATTTATTCAGTTTTTGTCCAGGATAGAGCTATTTTTCAACGTTTTCTTTTTGATAAATTGGCGTCGAATAGAATGACCGAATAAATGATACTATTCCATACTCAAAAAGTGGTAAACTTCTGGATACTTTCACAGTCACTAATGTCTACCTTTAATTCCTTCTGATTTTCAAAAATACACCAGCTGAAAAGGAATATTTAACCTTCAGCCATGTTTTATTGTTTAAATAGAGATTCCTTGTTAACAATTCAGTGATTATAGCAATAATCCTTTACTGCATCATGTCAAGTTTGATCATGAGTCGATGTCAGTTAAAGGACCATTGTAAACCAACGAATACTGGATAGCTACATACTCGTGACCAGTAGGGTGCAACGGGTCGGGTGTGAGTACAAATACTGGCCGAAGACATTGGCTAGCGGTCGCGTTATGTCGTGAATTGGCAGAAGTTAGAATTCAAGGGCCATTGGAATCCCTACAATCCTTACAAACCAACACTTGAATACATAGTCCTAACTTAGATTCTTTAGCAGTACGCACTTACAAGCCTACAGGGAATTAAATCCAGGACCTTCGGGTTAAAAGGCCAAGCTCGTCGGCCATTCAACCATCACTCATTAATTCTAACTTCTGCCAGTTAGCAACATAACACTACCACAAACCAGTGCCATTGATAAGCGTACACTACTTACCTGAGATGGTAAGCCCTACTGGCCCCAACGTTCCATTACGACTTCAGTATATCCGACCGGATATGATCACAAATACTCGTCGATGATATTGGCCTACAGCCGTTGACTGATAGCCCAAAGACATTCGCCCCGTAACCACAAGATCCAGGCTTCCATCTTTCCTGGGAACGTAGATGTGTACTGATGAAGAAGACCAAACTAGGACGAAGCATCTGTCCTGTTTTTCGTCGTCTTCAGTGGTTTTCTAACCAACATCAAACCATGATTACACTTAAAACAAATCAAATTCCTACAAACGAATCCCGGGACTAGATCATATCAGTCGGAAAGAACTACTCATGACTAGTCTTCTAACATACAGACAATTAAAAAATATTCAGAATTCCAATCGACAAAACAACGAAATACAATTTCTACGATGTTTTATATTTTCAATTTCTTTCTTTTCTAAAGGTGTTTAACTTAGACTGATATGCTTTAAATCTTTCAGTTCTTTTTCATTCCTTGTGTTCTGAGTTAGATATGGGATGTCAAGATTCAAGTATCAAGGTTTCAGTAGTACTGATGTTGATTTTACAAGACGGGATAACTAGCACCAAACTCAGTCTTCCTTCAACCACTCGGCTTACTGGTAGCTATTCATGGTCTAATAGTGTACCGGCCTAGAGTCAAACTTTGACCTATTGATTGGAAAATCCACAGTGCATGAGAGTCTGTAAAGTTATCTGTTATTCTTTATTTGTTTATTTATTGTTTATGAGATAGCTGGATATTACTAATTCATGTTTGTTTCAGATTCAATTAATGTTTTATTAATTACTCTATGTACCACTAAACGACTGATATGAGTAGTTGGATACCACTCATATCAACCAGTAGTACTTGCTAGTGAGATCGTAGTGATATTTACACCAGATGGCCCTTTCACTGATATGGGACCATGATCATCAGAAATGTACCCGATTAAACTCAGTTTAGACAACCGAATCTGTTCAAACCTCTCGATTTTTCATTAGATCACTTCAATCTGGCTAGCAAGCACTATTGGTTGACGTAGGTGTAATCCAACTACTCATGTCATTCAGCGAGTAGTATATAGCTTCATGCCATTAGGCTTGTCTTCTTGATTATCATTTATGGTATTAAGTAGAAAACATATAAAAAGATATAAACATTTTATGTTTCTGAAGGGGAATGCGGTGAAATTTTACCATGAACTGTGTAAATAGCAACTTTCGTAAATTAATTTGCTGATTGAGCATTTTATGTGTTTTTTTTAAGTAATTCATTAAAGCTGAATGAGGAACAATATTTTACACAATAATTTACATTAGTTAATTATTGCTGTTGTAAAAACAATTCATTAGCAATCACCCTCTCAACTTTTTTTACCCTGTTCCTATGGTAACGACAGTGTACATGTGGTGGTCTAAACATTCAAGATCAGAATTTATTATCTCATTTTAATACAAGCATCAAAAGTAATTTAAAGAAATAATGCTACAAAGAATTGTATAAAATATTCGCCAATAACAATAAGCACTGTGAACTGGATGAAGGTCATTTGGATTGTGTGTACTATTCAGTATTATCATTATTATTAACACATATCTGCGTGAATACTGTATAACCACAAGGCTTTGTGCTTTATCATGGAAACATTTTTAATTCAAAAACAGCAGTTAAACTCAGTCAAAAATATGTCATAGAGAACAAAGTGATACTATTTTTATGACATTTGACTGACTGAGTTTCAGCCATGGAACTTAGCAGGGAATTGCAGTAGTTCAAGTTGCCGCACTCCACAGGCACACAAAAAAGGGAGGAAAAAAGGATTCAGAAATACTATAATAAGCATAAATGTAAGGGTGAAAGAATAATAGCATAAAAGAACACTAGGGTTTATTGGATATGGGAGAATACAGAGAGTGAACTACTGACGATTTTCAGCCATTTCACCAATAGTCTGCAGCCCTTGGTTCTTCAACTGTAGCTCCCTGAAAAGCTTAAACTAGCTGTCAAAGATTCCATAGACTGATGCCAGGTCTCAGTTTGACCACATCTAACTCTTTCCAACCTGATACTATGCCATTTAACACTCCCGGTCGATGAAGGCAGTGGCTGGGTATGGGCATCTAAATTGATGTAGCTGCACAAAATCATTGATTGGCTTCCCTTCCTTATCTAGCACTTTGGGCCTAACTTAAATATGTCTTACCAAGTTACGGGAGAAAGAACGCGGATATCCGTGGCCAAAACCATCTAACCTTTTCATATCTTCCCCTTTCAATGGCCATGTATCATAGCCACAAAAAAGAACGAAGCCAATTTATGCACAGCATACAAATCCAATGATCTATAACCGGATACAAAGTCTATGCCAGATACAACATAATTTGGCACATACCACCCAGATCTTTGTATCCAATATGAAATCCTGTCAGCAGTCAGTCCATCGGGGCTGATGTGACTTCCTAAATAAGTGATATAAGTGGTCAGAGTGCTCTACTACTTCACTGTCTATGTTGAAACCAGGATTTGATGTAATCCAGTCCTGTAGCATCAACTTACATTTGACATGAGCGAATCATATGCCAAACATAGGAAGATTACTGTACAAGAAGTTTAAGAAGCTCCTGCATTTTATCAGCGTCTTAAAGCTGCACTACTATATCATCCAAATACTCTAAGTAGACAGTACTGCTTTATGATAGAAAGTCAATCTCTGAGTCACTAAAGCCGATTGAAGTCATACAATTAGTGAATCTATGATGAAATTAAACCAAAATGGGGACAGTGGGCATTCCTGACGGACATCACTGTTCTTCATCACTTCAGATGACAACTCTCCATTAGCATTAACGCAACTTCTTGCGTCCGAGTAGAGTGCCTTGACTAGTGAGTCGTCACTCCCTTAACGGCCAAACACTGCCATAGCACCATTCGGTCCATGTAGCAGCATGCTGTCTTCGGGTGAACAAATATGACAACTTTTGGAAGCCAGTAAGTATTCCTATGTTCCAGAACCCATTGAAGAGTAAAGATATGACCACTTCATCTTCTTTTTGGTATGAAACCTGTTTGTTTCTTCGCGTTTGTTTCTTCTGAGCGCGCCTTAACCCACGCATGATTATTAGGCCTAGAACTATAGAGTATTTGTTTTTAAAATTTTGTTATAGCTTGTTTCCACACAGTATTTTGGTACAACTATGGAATTTTCAGCATGACCTTATGATTATCACAGGATGACTTATTTTCCTTTTTATAAACCGAGATAGTCGGTGACTTACACAAGTCTAACGGAACTATATTTGGTTCCCAGACGTTACCTAACCAAGACAGCAGTTTGTCACCCTTGTTCTTAAACACCTCTGGAGTAGTTCCATCAGGTCCTGCTGCCTTATCTCGTTTCAGACCACAAACAACCTTTGTAACCCCAGTTATAGATGGAGGACCGGTGTCCACAACGCATTTAAGCAGGTGCTGGACCGAAAGCAGTTTGAGTGTGACTGTAGGCCAGTTAAACTGCTCCTCAGACTGTTCCTTCTCACGTTCCAGTCGTCTTTTCTGAGAGCTAATTCAGGGACCATTTTTCTCAGAGATTGTATCATTTATCATTTACACATTGCTATCTTTTTCCCTAATAAGCTTAAATATTTGTCCAATTTTGTCAATCGCCAATGCCTTATACGTGCCCACCACTAATCATGGTGATTACGAAGACATTTTGTCCATTTGCTTTCGACCAGTTTTCATTCTCCATCATGTTCGGAGCCTTCTGAAAGCAATCTCCTCATGTCTATCAGTGTAGACGAAGTAGCAGAAATCGGCTGGTAGTTTCTGGCCACTGGGTTCAGGTTAGTGACAGCCTTTCCAGCTGAATGTGTAGCTGACTGGATATTCTGTCAGACTTCCTCAGGATATGTTTTGCTGCACATTTACACATGCATTTAGCTATTTCTCCTTTAAGTAAGTACTTAGCGTCCTGATCAAGGTGGGACGTAATGGCCTCAATGCTGTCTGTTTCTTATGTCTGTTTAATCGTTAGCATAAAGATGGATCAACCCACGTGTTTCAGAAACAGCAGCAGTCCTCTACTTATCCTCGCCAACAATAGCTTATTGCTATGAATCCATCGTTGGTTTGATGACATAGGTGGCCAGGTTAGGTAATTTGTCAGTTTATATGAAGCTAGCACTGACTGGGAACAAATAATTACGGGGACAAAAATGCAGGCGTCGGTCACCGTTGTTGGTTTATGGGAGAAGAAATCCACAGGTGCCACCCACATACCTAACAGAATGACACGGCTTCCCTACTACAGCATTTAGATCGCCTGCTAAAACAACTATATCTGAACGTTTAGCCTATATCTGCAAAGTAGACAGTTTTGGTAGAACTCATCCTTTATTTCGTCCAAAGTGCAGCCGGTTGGGGAGTAAGCGGAGGTTGTCAAAAGACGTCGACGGGTTTCAAAGTTTTCCCTTCTTCTAACGGATCTGGTCAGATGGATAACACTTATACGACTGTCTATTAAAATCCAGTCAAACAGGGATTTCTCGGTCTCTTGAACCATTGCCATTTTTGCACCTACCAGTACTCGCGAACTAGCCAAAGAATCTCCTGACACCTGTGTGGTGGATTTCGCAGATTTACTCTGTCTGTGAGGTGAAGTTAAGTGAAAAACCACACCTGGGTCTTGTATGTCTGTCTAGAAACATATTATACATCCGCGATTCGATATGCTAGAGTTCTGGCTAGTGATGCCTGTTATCCGACTTAACAGAAGGTCTTGGCGTTCCAATATAAGGTTGGCAAAGTGTCTTTGAGGGACTCAGAGTAGTGCTTTCAGACTGTCATCACTATCGATGGTAGCGGAGTGAAGACATGAGGGACCTGCCTATGAAATAGCATTAATAGTAGGAGGAAAAGGTCATGAAGGCGACAGGGATAAAGATGGGTGGTAATCAGGGGAGGTTTGGAAATATGTGGGCATTTGTTACTTCCTAGTCGCCTGCTGGATAGAAGTTGATTTTAACTCCAAGTGCCTGAAACAGTAAGAGAACTAGTGTTGCGTGACCACAGAGTCCAGGGTGCGACTGCTTGAGGCCAGTCACACACGGTCTGTTTGAACTGACTTTTAGGTTTGGTTCCACATTTAGTAACTAACCACTGACTACGGACCACCATAAGGTAAGTCGCGATGTACAATTTTTGTGGTCTCCCTTTTTAACCTCTTACCCCCCCCTACATTGAGAAAAGGCAGTATGACTGAAATGCTAAACTTCAGAGAAGGGGACATTACTGCCGTCACATCCCTTTTCCCCAGTAGTACCACTTTTCCAAGAGGCCTCCAACATAGGCAAACATATTACACTATAACGGTAACTACTTTTAGTAAATTCACTTTCCGAACGAATCACCCCGCAGGGTACGACCTGCGGAAACAGTGGTTCCAGCCAGCGTAGGTGGTTGTATAATTGCGATATGAGGACTCGACCACTACGCGAAGGTAGCAGCTATCGGTTGGGTATTATAACGTCCACTGAACAATGAACAGCAGTCGAAGTAATGCATTGCTTCTCTAAAATAAACCCTAACTATAATAAACCACTCTAGATATGAAAAGTAGCACAATATAAACTAAATAAGTAAACTTATACCTTGATTATGACTTCCATGAATTTCCTTAACTTCTGTATAATTTGATTCTTTTTTCCAGTTGACATATACTCCTTTACCAGGTGGATGGCTAAAAGGAACACGTAAACACATCCACCGCTTACAACATTCTCCTTGTCTCGGTGGCATTAATTGCAGTCTCATTGTTGTCCCATCATTGTAGATGTGATTACATAATTCATCTGGTGGTCTTTTCGCTTCAATATGTGAGCATAAATTATGACAAAGTGTTATACCATCGATACATGTACATTGGTGTGGACATCCATCGCCATGAACTCCACTATGTGGTATCCATGTTCCATTGATAAAACACGGTCTACCATTATTTTCTACAAATTGAAAAAGAAACGATATTTTCGTACAGGTAATAATTACATAATATTAGTAGGGATTTCCAAGAAAATTAAGAAACTGGTAAGACTATCTTATGTTCAAAACCTGAGTATTTACTCTATAGTGTAGAGAAATGCTGCAAACTGCATAAGGAACAAATATCGTAATTTCGGCACTAGTATAAGTCAGTCAGTCCTCCTATATGATTCGGAGATTTTAAGTATCATCGGAATCGTTTCCAGCAGTATTCAGACTTTTAGAAACAGCTGCCTTCATTCCATACTGAAGATCGGAAAATGGGCCGCGAAGAATTAGAAACGAGGAACTCTAACAGGCGACAAACTAACCAAGAACCCATAGCTTGACAGATGTCCCGAAGAAAATTGAAATGGACTGGACACATGTGGAGGAGACTGTTGAGTGGCATCCCGCGTCAGGATATCAAGTGGAACACGGATAGCAAACAACGACTCTATCACTCAGTAGTGATATGGAGGAGATTGTGTTAGGAATAAATGACAGAGCGTGGTTAGCCATGGATTTAGCTGGAGAAGATCATATAGAACGGAAGAAATTAAGATATGCCGCTGAAGTCCTATGTTGCACTCGGGACCCAAGGAAATAATAACTATATAATTTACTCTGTGATAATAACAATAAGGCAAATAATTTAACTACTCGGGTGAATTTTAGTCACCAACTGATGTTAACCTGAAAACCACTACGTCCTCCTAATTTAGTACAAATCAGCAGTGAACATACACAATCCGACGGGGTATCAAAATCTGGATTTTCAGATTACGAAAGAAGCCCACTGACCTTTCACCCACCAGTTTGAATTCTGATGACCCATAAATTCTGACTTCTACCATTTCATGCTGTGGCACCACGGCTAGGCGATGAAATCAGAGATTATCTGTCCTCATGACCAACTTACTGTACCCCATTTGACAACGATTTTTATGAGGACTTCAAAAACTCTTTATCGTAGTCAGTTACCAATAAGAAGGATACCAATTTTCAAGTATTTTTTCAGGGATATAACTGATTTCAAATTATGTTTCAAAACCAGCCAACATCAGTAACTTTACATCTGCAACGCATCATGAGACTGATTTTTCTACTAAGTTCTTCTTAGTGAACTAGCTGATTGGTTTATCTAAGGCGAAACTGCCTAATAGACTTTTCTCTTATCTTCATAAGAGATTCATCGAAACTCCAATATGATCATTATTCAATCATAGTAATAATAATCATTATTATTATTACATTTGTTGTGAACATGAACACCTCTCCAAAAGCGCAATCTTTCTAGAGCAAACAAACAATAGCTAAGTCAAATGCATTTGCAATTACCAAAAGTTATTCACTTCATTTTTTTGAATTGTTCACGACTAAACAACATTTGCTTAAGGTTGAGCTATATATATCTCGAATTGACAGAAGTTAGAACTTATGCGCCATTGGAATCGGTCCAAGCGGCTGAATGATCAACCAGGGTCAATCCCTGAATTTGAGCTTATGGTTTTGTACAAATGAATAGTTCCAGACGGGGGTGAAAAAGCTGTTCAATAGTTTGTGGTTGTCAGTGATTTCCGAATTGAAGTCAGTTTGTTGATCAAAATTGAAATCAACAAAATCCCCGTAAACTAACACTTGATACTAAAAAGAATTTCGGTTTCTCCTCTGGTCTGCTGAACATCTACTTCATCCTACATAGGAACGCATCATCAGTGAGCACGGATGATACCACTGGCGACTGAATTCTGGAGCTTCAGATCACTTTGTTTTCAGTCTGTCTTATTGACCCAAAGAGACCAAATTCACAACTTTATCATATAGTTTTTTTTCTCTTTTTTTTCTTCTGTTCAGTAGTTAGATGTTGTAATCATACATTGTAAATTTATTTCTTTGTACTTCACAAAGGTTGATTAAGTATTAAGTAGAAATATATACCAGACATATAAACTATAAAGCATATGATGCTAACCAATTGCGAAGGCTGATGTAAATGAGGCAGGTTTCGAACTCGGGACTTACCAGCTGGTAGACAGGTGCCTTAGTTTACAAGTCTCGTGAACTTTCACTAGGTGAACATCAAATCTATCAGATATTTCAAAAATGCATCTTAACACATTGTTTACGATAAATATATTACTCATATTTTTTATACTAAATAGGAAATAGCAACTGGAATAAGATGACCTACATCAATGTGTATCATCACAGGCTCAAGAAATTTTTACGGGTGTGTCTAAATAACTATGAGTGATTTTACTTTAATCACCTTCAAACTAAACTACACGTAAAATTCTATATATATTTAGGTGTTGGTTTGTAGGGATTTGGTTGGTTACAGGATTTCATCATGAGCTGACATTGGTTAGAGAACCATTGGAAAACCTGGGAGTACAATACAAAACATTTCACTTCAGGATTCAGAATAAGAATATTCCAGCATATTACTATTCGTTCCTGGAGTTCCGAGTAGAGTATCGGGCTTCGGTAGGACATCTACATTCCTTTAGGTCATCTGTTACTTTCAGCTAGCCTCATCTTTGAGCGCAGGCTTTCAGATCCTCTTCATATGATCTCCACCATATCTTCGCATGCATACTCAACTCGTTGAGTCCCGATTGGGTTGCTGTTTGATGTCACTAGATGAGCTGTTCAGCGTATTTCCGATCCATTTCCATTTATTTCTGCATATTTTTTCAGCCAACCATAGGTTGTAGGCTGGTTCACTAGCAGTATTCCTAAATACTAAACATATATTTTAGCTGCAACATGATTTTATGTCATTTGCAGTGATCATTTAAGAGAGTAGATACAATTTCTACTTTAAAAATGTGAAGTATAACTTAAGAAGTTATTATTAGGTTTTAACGTTACTAAGGTTTCTATTTTCTTCACTGTTAAAACACTGATTAGTTTGAAAACAAGTTAAAATTTCAGACTTTCAACTATGCATCATCTTGTTTCCTACTTTCCTCAGAAAAAACTGTACACGTCCTGCTTGTCCTTGTTGCTGAAATACTTCCATGCGACATTGTCTTTCTCTACTCAGTGTAACTTAGCCATTCAACAAGTTAAGATTTTTTTGAATATCATCCTTCAACTCAGATGTATTTGTTTAACTAAGAACAAGAATAAGATGCATACCTACATGACTAGGCATCGTGCACAACATAACTGAATACATCACAGAAACATGCCAATTGACGACAGTGCTTAATTGAGTATCTTCGGCTTAATCTAGCTCTACTAAAACATTGCAGATCATCGTATAATGTCAGATGATGGTGAAGCTAAAAACTACCGTAAAACGGAGACAGTGAAAAACTTTTTTGTATCAGTACTTATATACGATATACATCTGAGTGTAGAAAATTTTGATTGTAAATAGATTGAGAATGATATTTCCGGACTGTATACTCATTTTTACCCATTCAGGCTATTAAACACGATGAATCTATCTGAAGTTGCGGTGCATTAATAGGGGAATCTGAAGCGAAAGCTTCCTGACCTCTTATCGCATTAAACTAAAAATCGGAAGGAATGATTAATTCATAAGCTCTTGTTGATGTAAGAATAGAGTTTGGGCACTGAGGTAGAGTCGAGTTCCATCACGGAATAATTTTATTCCATACAAAGCACACTGTGATATAGGATTATTTACCAACAGTATTTCGAACAAAATATATTACTCAAAATCATTTCAAGGTTTTTAGAGCCAGCCAATATTAACAGCATGCATTTGTCTTCAATGTTGACCTAATATACCCATGAAGCTGCTTGTTGGTGGTGCTAAAACTCACAAAAATTGACACAAGTAAGAATTTGTGGGCCATTGCGTCCCATCTCAGCTTCTAAATGGTCAACGCGAAGGTCCCAGGTGTGACGCTGCTTTGGTCTTGAGAATACACTATCGAAGAGTAGCAAACTAGAATGAAGTGTCTGTCCAGCACTCCCAGATTTTTGAAGGTTCTTTTTTTACTAATATCAAAATACATGATCTAACATGAAATCGATCAAATCCATACAAAATAACATTTGAAAGTGATTCTGTGTCTATGTTTACTTTTCATCAACTGCAGACGTTATGTATACATTAATCTTGAACTCCAATTTTTGCATAGAAAACGTTAAGAAACATCGCTTTTTAATTTGAAGCGAGAAGGGTTCTTTTAGCTCGACAGTGTTTTAAACAATTCACACACTCAAACATTCACTCATTTCCGGTATCTGTGTACAATAAATCAGTCAGTAAGCAGGATACTAAATTAACAAAGTCTATCCTCATTCGCAACTTTATGTCTGTTGAAATAATACCTGGAAACCATTGGAAACAGTCTTATACATATAATGGAGAAGATTTTTAAGCTCAGGTGGATGATTTTGTTGTAGTTGTGTTCACGCAGCTGAGGACAGAGTGTGGCAAATTCTTTCCTAAGTAAACCAAAATAGATTTCAGTGGAGAAATAAAGACGGATAGACAGACTACAGGCATAAGCAGACTGTAAAAAAGATACTAGATTAGTTTTACTTCCCTAGGTAGAACGTCAGACGAAATATCTTCTAAGGCGTTAGTATAATGTGGGAAGACCACGAAAGACCAGAGTAAAGACGTAATCCAAGGTATTTAATATCTGACTTAGTTTAAACTTCAATGACTTCTATGACACAACAATCATGGGAAGGATCCAGTTCATTTCAATCACGTTAGCGTCAGAAGATAAACTTAGTAATCTGATATTTGAAAGAATTTAGTTTAAGGCCATTCGACAAAGATCACTGAAAAATTTCTGACAGATAAATAACGATTTCGGGAAAGACTGAGTGAGATGTAAGCGGCATAGAAACAGTCAGATTATCAACAAACTTAAAAAAACTGACTTTATCAGAATGAAGTAAATTATGTAAGGACAAAGAAACGGAAAAGGAGAATGAACAGTAACTGGAAAGACACTGGCTTCAGTAAGCAAAGCAGTGGAAG